TAGTTAAAAGTAGTATAATTTACACAAATAATTTGCTAAAATAAGTATTAATTTACAAATTGAGTCTTGACTCTTAGAGAGTAGTTTGAGTTAAAAAAGTTTTGCCCGGCTTTTGGTTAATTACTTGGCCACGATCCCTAGCCTATTATTAATCCTTGAAGGAACCATATGGGCAACCGAATTTTTTTCTCTAATTTCCTTTTTGAATTGAAGACAATGATAGCACATTTTCTAATTCTTATAAATACAGTTGGTTAATTCAATAATATATTAGCACCCGTAGTTTTAACTACATTGGTTCAAATGCATTAAACTCTTGATAAATGTCAGAGTTCTAACCGTTGCACTAACAGCCTCTCTATCCCTCTTTCTCTCAATTGCCTTTGTTAAAAAAATAAAAATAAAAATTCAATAATATATTAATGTCAAACTCCATTATTCACAACAACCAAAAATCTTTTTTTTTCTTTTTTGTTGGTTGTTGATTTCAAGTTGAGATATACAAATAATTGGTGTTCGTTTTCTAATTCGACATTTTCAAAGAAAATGATTGATGGCAACACATCACATAATTCTTATCATCTTGTTCTTCTTCGTTTTTTAAGTATACACTCGACACACGAAAACAGCAAAACTTGATAAAAATATTAAATATATATTAGTTGAGATGACACTGAAAAAAATTGCAGGTTGTGATGCTCTTTATTGAAATAGTTTGTACTAAAAAAATATATTAAAATAATATTTGTGACATTTTTTATTACGTGAATTTACACTATATAGCAATTAAAAGTTGTTTTTAGTAGTGTTAGTGTTTATTTGTTAAATTTTAAAAATATTAAAATAGAAAATATTTTAAAATTATATTGTTTAATTAAAATATTATAAAAAATTATTAAAATAATTTTATTTTGAGATTTTTTTTCTTCTTAATTTTTTAAAATTTTGACTGACGAAACACTTTTTTTCATATTAAGTTGTGCATTTTATTAACTTAATTAATTTTATGTAAGAGATTATATACGGACAGTGTTCACTCTGAGCCATTGGAAATGCGTAAATAATTCTTGATTACACGTAATCAACCACGCCAGTCAGCACTTGGGCGCGTAGCCCATGGTGTAAGGTGCTTCCGATTTAGTACTTATATAGTTTATAGAAAATGGTTTAGAAAAAATTATTTTATATTTATTTTTTATATAATGTTATTTATTATTTAAATAATTATTTTTTATTTATTTGAAATCTATATATAGTTTATAGAAAATGATTTAGGGATAATTATTTTATATTTATTTTTTTATATGATATTATTTATTATTTAAATAATTAATTTTTTTATTCATTTAAAATTTATGATATTAAATATATTCATTTATTTAATAACACATAAAATTTATATAAAAAAAATTATACAAAAAAATTGTTTATATATAACCACTCTATAATTTACCTACAAGTTACAACTCCTCAGAAGGAGGGCTGTGTTTCAATTTCAATTGTTCATTCTCCAGTCTCCATTCTCTTTCACTAGAGGGCCTTTGGTTGGGGAGTTCTACTTTTCTCTTACTTTGGATTTTTAGAATTATTTACGTATTTTGACGACTTAATACTATATCAAAGATATTATAACAAATTAGAGTAAAATTGATATTTTTAATTTTTATAAACTTGTCAAGGTGCAAAATGGGTTGCTACCACCAATTCCAAGAGGAAGAAAAGCCTTGGTGGTTGGGTCTCCAGAACCCCCTTCTTCCTTGGTCCACATTCTTTCGCGGGATGAATTACCTTGGCTTCCTCTTCCTAGTAACAGTTTAGCTAGCTAGGATTATCTAGTATATAAATGTTGTATGCATATAAGTTCTTTGATGGCGAAAAAAGAAAAAAAATTACGCCAACTAAACCCTTGTTATTGTTTAATATTAAACAATTTTTTTTTTGAACATGTTTAATATTAAACAATTGATTCCAAAAGGATAAGATATTGTCATATTGATGCATCAACCCACCTTTTCAATTTCTTTCCATACCTTTTGTGGGCATGTATGCATGGTCAAGACTCAAGTAAAGAAATTTGCAAGAATTGGGCTAATACTTTTCTTGTGCAAAGGAAGTGGGCTATTACTGGATCCCATCTGTTGGGCCTTGACTTGATGTTATTAAGACGCGGAATGGACATAATAATTCATACAAAATTACAAATATATAAGGTTATCAGCAACAGATGTACCCGACCCAACCAAATTGTTATTCTGCTTCACAATTCTTAAATGTATTGTTCATAGATCTCTAAATTTTTAAACCCATAACATAGGAAACGGATGGATGAGTTGACTGAGGCTAGAAAGTAGAAACAGTCGAAAGGGGGAAAGAATTGAACAATTCCCTCAAGAGATTTGTGTGCTAATGTTTCTGGAAAAGGAAGTCAAATATGATCTTTTTACGTGACGGCCCAAAAATAAGTTACATATACAAGTACGTAATGTAAACGTCACTAAACCGTAAGCTTGATCCTTTTTTTTTTTTTGGCCGTCATAAGTTTGATTGGGCACTTAGATATTTCCAACATCCTATATGGCACACAACATTTACACTTAAATCTACATAGATGTTTAGTCAGTATTAAAAATTTGGTTAATTAAGATGTAGGAAAAAAAAAAATTAATCAAACATCTTTTCTTTACGTGTTGATTAAAATCCAACACTCAAAAAATATTAAACACGAACTTTTACGTGTTCTTTATTTTAATTTTAACCATTTTAACACATAATTGGGGGACTTTTTTTTTTTTTTAACAGGAAGAAATTGTTAGATTAGGTGTTAGTATCTGTTAATGTTAAAGAGGATTGAATCTTGGAGTTGAGTGCATTCCACTTGCTACCCAATAAACAACGTGGCCACACCACTGAACCCCATGAAAAATTACGGGACCCTTTTTTTCTTTTAGAGGGTCAATATCACCTCAACTTTGGCCACTCGTGGGGTCTCCTTAATTTGTTTCATCAAAATAATCTATATATACTTAAAAATTGTAGGAAGGGTTGATAATGACAATTTTGAGTTAATTAAGAGCAATATTTTACTTGATGAATAGTTATAGGCCTCAAAATTTCTATGTCATTACACGCAATTGCTAACGTCTGCTCGCTGTAAGTTTATAGGTTAACACTTTATTTTACTCTTGATCTAACCTAATTTCTCTTATCTAATGCTTTTGTCAAACGATACTCACAGCCCCCCTCGCCTCCTCTTTTTTTTTTTTTTTAAAAGGAAGGCACTAGTTGCAGTTTTTTTTTAACTTGTACATGCATCATATGTACCAAAAAAATCGATATAAATACATCATCATATATATCTTTCACTTTCACTTAGAATTATTTGCATATTTACTAATAATTTAGTTACTTGCTTTATAAAAATTTTCATTTTTTTAATGTAAAATTTAAAAAACTTAATTTCAATGACGTAAGATATAGAATCAGAAACATAAAAAAAAAAAATTTCTTTAATACATAACGACATGTCATATATGGTTATTTGAAAAAGATAAAACAAAAACTTTTAAGCTTAACCACATACTCAAAATTTCGAAATTAATGGATATACGATATGAATTTATTCAAGCACTAAAATTAATTAGATCACTAATAGTGTTAGATTTAATTCTTATGAAATTAATGAAATTAAGTTCAAACGCTAGAATTTGCTTCAGGACTAGGTAGTTAACTGTAGAGTAATGTGATAACGGACTAGTCAATACATTAAATCTAATCTAACCCGTAACAGTTAGTAGAGTTATTAATTTTTTTTTTTTTTTTATGAACCATCCGGTATTCGGAAACCCATTAAGCCATCAATTAATCCGGATTTGAGTTAGGCAGGACTTAACGAGTAGTAAAACTCTTTTTCACGAGTTTTAACGAAACTATATTTTTAAGATTTGAAATCAAGACCTCTAATCAAGTTAAAAAAATTCCAACCAACTCATTCACTCACTCATAAATAGTTATTAACTTATATTACCAAATAAGAGGAGTGTAGGAATTCAAAACTTAACGAAAATTCTTCAATTCAATATATATATGGCATAAAAAAACATTTTAGGAAAGTTAGAA